TAATAAATAAAACTAGGAGTTGTTTTTATTTTAAAAAAATCAATGAAATAGAAAAACCATTGGTTAATATGATTTCAAAAAGAGTTAAGAAAACCAAATCACTAGTATTAAAAATGGAAAGGGTAGGGGCGGTTAGGTGGTACAGTGGATAGAGCACTGGTTCTGGAGTTAGGAGGACTTGAGTTCAAATTCGATCTCAGACAAATAACACTCACTAACTGTGTGACTCTGGGCAAGTCATTTTACCCCAATTGTCTCACTAAAAAAAATGAAAAGGGTGAATATTCAATTAATGAAGATGAAATTAAAGCAATTATAAGGCATTATTTTTCCTAATTATATGTCAATAAATTGAACAATTTAAGTGAAATGAATGATAGTCATAGAATACTATTGAACTATAAGAAATGATGAGCTAATTGATTTTAGAAAAATATGAAAAGACTTGTATGAAATAATGAAGAGCAAAATGAGCAGAACCAAGAGAACACAAACAATAGCAGCAATATTGTTCTAAGAACAGCTTTGAATGACTGAGTAACTTTAAGTATTATAAATACTCAAATCAACTCTACAAAGGACCTGTGAAGGAAGATGCTATCCACATCCAAGAAAGCATCAGTACATAGATATATAGCATGATTTTATGTATTATGCACATGTTTGTGTCTAAAGGTAACTTTCTGTAGAGCAGGGGAGAAAGGGAAGGAGAAAAAAATAAAAACTGCAGGGCAGAGAACAAAAGGAAACTTAAAAGGAAGGACAGAAAAGCAGGGTAGCTTTGAAAATGACGTGTAGTATTTATTACATAATTTTAAAAAGATGAACAGTGTGAAATGGAAATTCATGGTTTTATATTGGATCCTTATTTAATGTTGTGCTGTGTATATGGAAATATTCTTTATTTTTTTGTATTTAAGTTAAAAATGGATAACAAAAAAGGAAAAATATTGTGGCATCTTTGTTATTGTACTAGAGAATGCTGGCTCCCATCTTTAGTAAAACTGGCTAGCCCAGCTCTAACATATAATTTATCCTTCATCATCAATTGGTGTCCAAAACCATTTCAGGCAATTTGTCCTTATCTCTCAGCAGCAGCTTATTTCTTCAGTTATGGAGAGACCTGCATGTTTGATAGTTTTTGGAGCTAATAAAAGGAGAGGTCTTAATTTGCCTCTAACTTTCCCTCTTGGCTAAAAAGGTTCTATCTTTTTTCCTAGCTCCTGGTTAAAACTTTCTCCTTTCAGCACAAAGGATTCATCTGCTCAGCTGACTCTCTGGATCTTTTTCTGTAATGAAAATAAGGCATGAAGGAAGACTCAGGATTAACTTTCCCTTTATTTCTGAGAGCTTCAAATCTAGTATTTAGAGTTCTTCAGATTGGTCATTTTTTTTAATGTTGTTTTTGTTTCAGTGGAAAGAGCATTGACCGGAGTCAGAGGTCTTTGGGTCCAAATCCCACCTCTGACACTCATTATCTGTTGTTCTTGTATCATAATTTTACCATCACTTATTAGTGATCCAAAGTATGAGTTCATTTGGGGTGCACTGGCCTGAAATCCAAATTAGGTGTTTACCCTCTCACAAATGATCCTTTTTCTCTCTCTCTTTCTCTCTTCCCCCACATGCTCCCTTTCTCTCCCATACCTCCCCCTCAGTCCTCACTTCATTTCCTTCTGTCTCACAAGTGAACTTGGTTTCTATGGATGATAGGAAAGAGTGATTGAGGCAGATGGAGCAAGCAGGACTTGAAATAGGAGATAAGATTCAGGATGTGACCAGCCAGAAAAGTGATCAAAGAAGACTACTCATTGAAGCCCCCACGATGGACTTATCTGTGTTCTTTCACAAAGCACTCTCAATTCAGAACAACTCTTCCCCTCCCCTTTTCTTGTTCTCCTTGCTTATCACCTCCAGAATACCTGATTTCCCAGACATTTTGGAGCCATGCTTGCTCTTCCCATTCTCTTGTCCCCTTCCTCTTATTCCATAAAATTGTATTTAAACCAAACCTTTGCCCTAGCAAAAGGCCTTTGCCTCCTATGGGAAGCAGGAGCCACTTAGCTCCCTTAGGGAAACAGGGCCTGCAGCCTATGGTCTACCTCCCACATGGAGTAGAGTCCACTGGGGCTCTGCCACGTGGAGAGCAGGCCCCCTTGGCTACATCACCCCAATAAATGCCTTTCTTTAACTTGGAGGCTGGCCAAGTGAATTCTTTCAGGACGCTAGGATCCACATATCTATTCCTCATCATTTCAGGTAGTACCCCAACATTCTTGGGGTCCACCTTGAACTCATCACCAATGGTTACAGAGGTCTAAGTGAATTCTTTCACACCTGAACCAACTCTCCCAACTCCAACCTCAACAATATCATTAAAATAGGTTTAAGGGTAAACACAAGTACTATAGAAATGAAATATTTAGGGCTTATGACCACCTATCATACTGCTGTCGCCATAGCTTACACTCCAAGGCTTTCTTTAGGCATATGATTTAGAAGAACAAGGAACATCATATCAGATCTGCTTTTCTAATAATTCTTTATTAAGAAAACAACACTTCTTCCTTAAAAGCAAACAAACTTACAAATGTAATGGAATGCTTCTGTGCTATAAGAAATGATGAAAGGGGTAATTTCAGAGAAACCTGGGAAGTCTTGTATGAATTGATGCAGAGCAAAGTAAGCAGAACCATAAGAACAATTCATACAGTAACAAAAACATTGTAAAAAATAATTTTGAAAGACCTAATAACTCTGATCAATGCAATGACTAATATGATTCCAGAAGAAGAATGCTACCTACTGCCTGAAAAAGAGACAATGAACTCAAGGTACAGAATAAGATATCTTCTTGGACATGGACAATGGGGGAATTTGTCTTGCATATTTGTTACAAAGGTTTTCTTTCTTTCTTTTTTCTTTCTCTGTAGAGGAGGGGGTTTGGGAGAAATTAAATACTTATTAATTTAAAAAGATAACAATTTTAAAATCAATATGTCACTCAGAGCAAGGATTAAAAGAAATACCAACTCCTAAGTACAGGTTTAGTATTCCTGTCAATATCTGTTATAAATTGTACTTATCTAAACATTCACTTTACTTTGGACCTAAAAGAAGGCCATTATATTATTTTCCTGTTCTGGGTTGCTTTAAAATCTTTTTACAATGCCTGGTACCTTCTGTTCTGATCTGTGCTACTCTGTTGGTTGTGGCTGTGCAAAGGAAAGGTAATAATTATTCCAATGACACCTTCCTCATACTCTGGGAACACAAATTAGTGTGAATTTCTTTCCATCATAGACAACCTTGGCCTTTCTCCTCAACCTCAGACCCTCTCTACTTGTTATCTCTCCACTGTCTTTCTGAATTCCTTTTCCAAAATGGTGGCATTTTTCTCCCAATTATCTAACTCACTAACCTAGAGTCTCTTTCTCTTAATGAATGGTTCCTTCATTTCATAACATGATTTCTTAAAGAAATCCCTTCTCCTGGAACCCTCCAAATATTTCAAACCACTAAACAAAGCAAAACGTGTTTTAAACAAGGCAATGCAGGCTACTTTGTACCTTAAATGCATGCCTTTAAAGAAGTTGATGCTGGTAAGTGGTTAAGTGGGAATCACTGTCTTGTCTCATACCCTTCACTCAGATCTTATCTTTGATTCAGACCTTATATGGAGGGGGAGAAGTGCTTCTCATCTCTGATGTCTGGTTTCTTTTGATCATCTATTCTTGATAAATTGTTGCAATTAACTCAGAATGAGAAAACATCAAAGAAGTTTAGAAGCTGTTATGTTTTGATAGCACCAGAGCAATTACATATATCTTGAGATGGAGAGAAAAAAATATTTAAGTTCCTGCCCCACAAAAACTTTATGGAAAGAAAACATTCCTGCCGTAATGTGTATACACCCCAAAATACCAAATGTCAACAATGATTTTGACATGATGTTTTTTCACCTTTCCTTGGTATTTTATGGGATTAAGCCAAGGTGAATTGTGGAAGATCTGTGAAGTAGCCCCCAAGGCTGATCTCAGAACCTGAAGCAAAAGAGGGCAAGAACATCTTGTGGGGAGAAGAGAATTCTGATTCTTCACAGCCTAGGTTCGTTTATTCCACTGTTTCAAATTCCACCATTCATGCCCTTTTCATGCCTTTCCCTGATCTATGCTATTCCAAAAGAGAAAAGAGAACTGAGATGAAGGACAAGTTATGGCAAATGTGTCTTAGAAGGAGAGTTTGAAGTATGATCCTGTGAAATCATAGGATTATAGTTGCAAAGTTACAAGGGGTCTCCTTTTCCTCCCATTTTACAAACAGGGATCCTTAGGCACAGAGAGTTTACAAGACTTGCCCAGAGCCATAGACATTGTAAGTATCAAAGGTAGGATTTGAACTCAGGTCCTCTGTTTCCAGAGCAGGTATTCTGGATAAAGCACTGAAGTTGGAATAAGAAAGTCCTAAATTTGAATCTGGACTGGAATACTTATAAACTGTGTGACCTTGAGCAAATCACATAACCTCTTTTAACCTTTGGGATAATGATAGCACCAATTCACAGGGTCTTTGTGAAGATCATATCTATCTCTGTATCTCTATATATCATACATATCTATATCTATATATTGCTATGTAAATATATCTTTATATATATAATTTTATAAACCTTGATAAGCATTAGCAAATCCAGAGTTTTCTTTCTTATACAATTTTTGTGAGGATCAAGTAAGATGTGATATGTAAAACACTTTGCAAACCTTAAAGGGCTATATAAATCCTAATCATCATCATCATCATCATCATTATCATTGTTATTTACCATTAACAAGCCCAAAGATTTCTCTCTTATGCAGCCCAGGCAACAAACTCAAATGTTGCAACACCAAGGAGGAAATGGTTCATCCATCATCAATTCTTAAAAATGATTCCCAGTTCTTATCCAGTCCCCTAAAAGCATAAGTTCGCAGAAAGAGGTTGGATCATGAAGTCTTCCTTACCTGTATCTTTGTTTTAAAGACTGTTTCTCTGTGGATTTGCAAACATGCCCAGCGTAGTACAAAGGAAAGAATAAAAAGTTCCAGTTGGTGGCAAACCATGTCAGGGTAAAAGGGGCATCAAATTTCTTGAAGGTCAGCTTGGCAAGTTGTGTGGACCCTGCCCATGAGGAACAGATGCACAGAACCACTGCCACACCCCAGAAAAACTTCTTGAGCTGCTCTCTGGAGCACTTCCAACAGCAATGGCCAGCTCTTCCTCCAGCTTCCACACCAGCTGGCATTTGGGTCTCTGTTGGGGCTGGAGAGTCCCGAGGGCGCTCATCCCCTGGAAAGAAAAAAAAAAGGAGGTGAAGGTTAACAGTGATTCATCGACTGCACCTGAGGGCCTCTCTCAAGACTTTCTGTCTCCACTACTGTCTGGGGGCTGGGCAATTGCCTGAAGCCAGAATTTGTTTTTAAATGCAGTTTAAGAGGGTGCTGGTTAGGGCTCCTGTGAAAAAAAGCAGAAGCATCTGGCCAATGGCGCTCTGCAGTACTTAGGGAGAAGTAGAATACATATTCCTCTAGCTTCATAACTCACACATTTAGCTATCAATGTATTGACTCATTACCTTCATGTATGTGTTATTTAAGGGAACTTCAATAAAGATCCACATTTTGCTTTATGCCTAAATAGTAAAAAACCCCCAAAAAACAAAAAAACCCAAAAAACAAACAAACAAACAAGCCATCCTTTTCCAGTTGATCTAACAAGCCTCCTATACAAGCAGGTCCCCAGAAATTCCCCTCCCTGCATCTCTTCTTAAAAACCACAGTTTTATACAACCTATTCAGTTTTTCTTTTTTTGTATGTGTGACGCAACTGGGGGTTAAATGATTTGCCCAGGGTCACACACCCAGTAAGTGTCTGTTCTGAGATCGGATTTGAATTCAGTCCTCTTGACTCCAGGGTTGGTTCTCTATCCACTGTGCTACCTAGCTGCCCCCCAGCTTTTCTTTTTAGAGAAAAAGTTCTTAACCTTTTTGTGTGTCATGTACCCCTTTGGCAGTCTGGGGAAACCTATGGACCCCTTTTTAGAATAATGTTTTTGAATTGACAAAATAAAATATTTCATTGTTGTTTAGTTGTTTTCAGTTGTCTGATTCCATTTGGAGTTTTCTTGACAAAGATATTAGAGTGATTTGACATTTCCTCCTCCAGCTAACTTTACAGAAGAGGAAACTGAGGTAAAGAGGGTGAAGTGGCTTGCCCAGAGTCACACAGCTAGTAAGTGTCTAAGGCCAGATTTAAACTCAGGGAGATGAATGTTCCTAACTACAGGTCTGGCACTCTATCCCCTGTGCCACCTAACTGCCCCAAATAAAATATATAAGATTACAAATAAAACCTATTATATTGAAATAAAGGTGCACTTTCCCCCATCCAAGTTCATAGACCCTCTGAAATCTATTCATGAAACCCCTGGGTTAAGAACCACTGTATACAGGGATTCTTGCCTCGAGGAGTGAAGATAACCATTAATCCATGGAGCCAGGCTCGCTCCCAAAACTTGGCATTGATTTATGTACTGCTCACTCAGGTCACAGGAAGGTGGAAACTTGAACAATTTCTCTATTACTACTTTTCATGCATGTTTATACATGTGATCTGAAAGCTGGGGATTTAAATAGAGCTATTGCTTTATGCATGGTGACATTCTTCATTCATCATATCTTCCAGTGTCCCAAGTTCATAACCTAAGAATTTTCCTGGACAAAGCTTTGCTTTTCCTCACCCCAAATATCTGTTCAGTTGACAAAACCTGACGTTTTTACCTCCACATCTTTCCTCTCTGACCTCTTTTTTCCACTCACACAGCTAACATTTAACTTCAGCTTCTCATCATTTCTTGATGATCATTGCAACAGTTGTTTAATTGGTCCCTGGCCTGTCTCTTCCCCGCTCCAAAGTGCTGCCAAAGTGATTTTCCTTAAGTATAGAGTCGACAATGTTAATTTCCCTACTCAGTAAACTCTAGTGGTTCCCCATTGCCTCTAGAATAAAATATAAAAATACCCCTGTTTAGCTTTACAGCTTGGCCACAAATTATATTTTCAGCCGTATTTGATATCTCCCATGCTCTGTAATGGAGCCAAATTGGCTTTCTCCTTCCCCACCCAGGATACTCCATTTCAATACTTGGCATACAGTCTGGCACATAGTAGGCACTTAATAAATGTTTACTGATGAATTGACTGCTCTTTGCCTTTACACTAGCCATCCCACATACCTAGAATCTACTCCCTTTTGCTGTCCGAGTTTTCTCTCTTTAAGATGCAACTCAAACACCATCTTCTTCATGAAGTATTTCCTGATTTTCTCATCTGTTATTGCCCTCCCTTCCAAACTATTATGTTTTCAACTAATTTGCATATATTTGAATTTATTCATTTTGTTTTTATGTTGTATATATTTTTATATGTGTTTGTTGTGTCCCCCCACTTGACTATATATGCCTTGTAAGTAAGGATTATTTCATTCTTTGTGCTTGTGTCTTCTATTCCTAGCATTGCGGCTAGCACATAGCAGGCACTTTGTCAATATTTATTGATTGATAGGATGGATTCACTACAACAAGAAATCATTAAATGTGTATTATATGCAACTCACTGTGCTAGGTGCTGAGGGTACAAAGGTTAAAAACAATGAAGTGGCCCCTCTCCCCAAGGAACTTATATTCTACTCAGAGAAAACAAGATGTACAAAAATAAGTCAATACAAAATATGTGCAAAATAAACACAAAATAAATTTGGGGAATTGGGAACATTAACAACTGGGAGAATCAAAAAATACCTCTTGAGCTGAGCCTTGAAAAGTAACTAAGGATTGTTATAGGTGTCAAGACATTGGGCAAGTCATTTAGCCTTAGCCTACCTCAGTTTCCTAAACTGTAAAATGGGGATAAATATTGCACTTTTGTCCCAGGGTTGCTGTGAGGACAAAATGAGTTAATATTTGTAAATCATCTTGCTAACCTTAAATGCTAGCTATTATTATATTCATATTCAAAACTTTGTGGAGTAGTTGAAAGAGCACTGAGTTTAAATTCAGATTTATCCACTTTAAGCCTGTGAAAACTTAGGCAAGTCATTTAACCTGTCTGGACCTGAATTTGCTCATCTGTAAAATGAAGAGTTTTAACTTAACGAGTTCTGAGGTCCCGTATTTGCAGCTAAGTGGGATAGTGGATAGAGTGTTGGGCCTGGAGTTAGAAAGACTCATCTTCCTGAGTTCAAATCTTGCCTCAGACACTTATTTGCTATGTGATCTCGGGCAAGTCACTTAACCCTGTTTATCTCAGTTTCCATATCTGTAAAATGAAGTAGAGAAGGAAATGGCAAACCACTCCAGCATCTTGTTAAGAGAGTTGGACACAACTGAAAAACAGCTAAACAAAAATGATCCCATATGTATCAGATTTCATTGTATGGAATTGGCCCACTTGGTGGGGGGGCACTAGCTATATTCATATGAATACAGTAAACATTCTACTTCTAGTAAAGCATCAAATGAAAAACACAAGCAGGAAAATTCAGCTTTACAAATCCTGTTTTCAGGATTACTTTCATTACTCTGTTCTTTGTAGAGGGTAGATTGATTTCTTTGCTTGTAGGCTAAATACCCTTCCAAATCCACCTGTTTAACTAGCCTTAGGGAAGGGCTGAGAAAGAGCAGTATTATGAACAATTCAGGTTGGCATTTCATACCAACCCGAGAAATGAACTGCCTATTTCAACATGGAATAGATGATAGGCTAAGGAAACAACAAATTGCATTTTAGGTCCTCCTGAGGTACACTTTCACTGTATGGGATTTGTTCATTGCCTTGAAACAAATGACCAGATTCTAAGGCACAGCTACTTTCAGCTGTAAACTCAAAATACAGTACAATTTATACATGGATTTTCTAATTTTGGATTATCCAGTCTCCACTTCCTTAGTCTATATAAATAAAAGTGTTGTGATATAGTTGGATAAAATCACCTTTTGTTATTGTTGTGCATAGGGGAAAGTGGGTATTTTCACACTGCCAGTGTTGTTAAAAATCCATATCTGAGCTATAACTGGAGGGAGCAAAAATCAATGTACAACTGAAAGACTATTTTATGGTACAAGCATTGTATAAGTATGCATTTTTGCTCAGCTTGAATAAGTCTGTGGCTAGAGTAAGTATGGTTTTTGGTTTAGTTGCCTTACATTTTAAGAAGTAAAATGCATGGACAATTTCTGTTATGATCTAATAAATTTATAAAAACAGAACTGATTGATCCTGTGGAGGCATCTAAGTGAAGGCAACGGGCATTAAATAATTTAAGTTACTGTTACTAAAATGTTTGGATTGAAGAAGTTATTCTCTAGTATGCATTTTTCTGGACCATTTTGCCAAAAAGAAATATTAAAAATACACAAATGTGAAATATAAAGGCATTCAAAGCTAAAATGAGCACTCTATCCTTTTAAAATAGTAATTAGTGGGTAGAATAGATACTCATGGAAAGAGTCAAAGGAAAACAAGCAATACAGCCCACCCCAAACCATCCTCCAGTGATAGAACTTAACTCCAGTCCTAGGTACTTATTATCAGATTTATAGATGAAAGGAAGCTGGAAGCAGTGACCAAAATTCTGGATGAGAAAATAGAAATTGTATTCAGTTGTGGGTAGCACATCTTTGTAAGGATAATAACAAGCTGGAGAGTGTCCAGGGGAGGGTGACCAGAATGTTAAAGGGCATGAAGATAATTTCATATTAGGGGCAGTCAAAGGAAAAGTAAAAAATGGGGATGCTTGTCCTAGAGAACATGCCTTCAGGGCCAGATGGGGAGATTATAGCTATCTTCATGTAACTGGTGGATATTAAAAAAAGAAGGATGTTAAAGAGATTTGGACTCAGTTTAATAGAAAACTATACTATAAATTATATTGTTATGTGTTCTTCATTTTCAAAGAGGACCGTGGCATCAGAAAGGTGATGCCATGACTTGCAAGTAAATTGGATTTAAGTAAGGCAGGGCTGTGCAAAGTTACCAGTCTCACTTTCTCCTCCAGAGTCATCTGGGCCCAGTGGCAAGACATAGATTAGTGGCCCAGGATGCAGTGGATGACCTCGGCCTTTTAAAGCTAAAGTCTTTCCCAGGTCTCCAGTTTGACTGAGGTAACATCCATTCAGTGATTAAGGCTAGGTAAGAAATGAGGCAAAGGGTGGCCTCTTCTATCTAGTAAAAAAAAAAAATCAATCTAAGAGGGGAAGACCCTCGGAGTTTCTAGTCAAAACAGAAACAGTT